TAATTAAGAGACAATGGGAGAATGGGGGGAGAAAGAAACCTCGAAACAGGCTCCTTTTTATAGAGGGAAATACAAAAAAGGGAAGGATAGAGGTCTTTTAAAGGTTGGTTGCCCACCCAAACATCTTCCCAAAAAAGCACAGTGAGACATCATATCTTACGAACTTGAGAAATTTTGGGAGGATGCCAAAAATCACCTTCCAAGGTGTAGTGAGTGTGGCCCGTTGAGATATCCCGACATCCCAACCAGATTCAGAACAGCCATGGATACTAGCCACCACCTCATGCCACAATCTCTCTCTTTCTAGAGACCACCTCCATAACCACTTGCCCAAAAGAGCTTCATTCTTATTTACTAGGTTTCCTAACCCTAAGCCCCCTTGTTCCTTGCTTTGACTCACCACCTCCCATCTAATCAAATGATCCTTTTTTTCTGCACTTGGTTCCCACAAAAAATCGCTCGTCAACTTTTCTATCTTCTTGGCTTCCCTAACAGGTATCCTAAAAACAGATAAAAAGTAGAAGGGTAAGTTTGCGAGTGTGGCCCTAATCAAAGTTATTCTACACCCAAAGAGATATAGTTCTTTTTCCAGGTCACTAGCCTTTTTTCAAACTTCTCTACCACTAGGATCCAAAACCTACTTTCCTTTGGATTTGCACATAGGGGAAGTCCTAGATAGGTCAAGGGCCAAGCAGAAATAGGGCATTCTATGCAAGCAGCAATAGACTCCAACTCCTTCCTTCCACATTTAGCCCCACCACACAACTCTTCTCAAGATTTATTTTCAGGTTTGAGACATTCTCAAAGAGGGTTATTAGATTTCTCAAATTTCTTGGCCTCAACAAATCACATCCCTCACAAAAGATTATGATATCATTTGCAAACTGAAGGTGGGTAACTGGGACTTGATTTATTCCTAATCTCCATCCTCTTATCAATCCAATTATGTCTGCTTTTGACAAAAGTCTACTAAAAACATCAACAACCGATGTGAAAAGGAAAGGGGATAATGGATCACCTCATCTCAAGCCCCTACATGTAGAGAAAAAATCATTTACTACTCCATTTACTAAAATTGAGTAATGGCAAGACGTCAGAAAACCACCTATCCACTTGCACATCTATCCCCAAAACCACACTTTCTGAGCACCTCTAACGGAAAACTCCAATCCACTAAATCATAGGCCTTTTCAAGATCCAATTTGCAAACAAAACCTTGCCTACCCAATCTTCTCATCTCTTCCACACTTTCATTTGCTATTAAAATTTGGTCAACTATTTGTCTACCATGAACAAAAGCACCTTGAGCTTGACTTATGATGCGGGGAAGAGCCTTTTTGATCCTCAAAGATAAGGCCTTTGCCAGTATCTTATAGATGCTTGTTATCAAGCTAATTGGCCTAAAATCTTTGGGATGTTTGGCCTCTTTCTTCTTTGGGACCAGGGCTAGGAAAGTGGCATTTACTCCACGGCTAATAATAGACTATTCCTCAAATTCTTTGAAAACTTCTAACAAGTCTCCTTTAATTATGTTCCAACAATCTTGAAAGAAAGCCATAGTAAAGCCATCTGGCCTTCGTGCCTTAGATCTATCCATTGAAAAAACTAGTTGTCATATTTCCTCCTCCTCAAAACTCCTTTCCAACCATAATTTCATCTCTTCAGACAGTGTAGGCCAATCCAACCCAGCCAACTCCACTCGACTAGCTAGAGGTTTCCTTAATATAGATTTGAAGCGCGTTATAAAACAATTGGCTATTTCCTCTTGGGAGTCCAACTCCACACCAGCCACTTCAAGTTTGGTAACCAAGTTTTTCCTTCTTCTTCCATTGGCCATCTCATGAAAAAAATTGGTATTCCTGTCCCCTTCCTTTATCCATTTATGCCAAGATTTCTGCCTCCAATATATCTCTTCTCGCAAAAGAACCTCCTATAATTCCTTTTCCAACCTCCACCTTAATTCTCTTTCTTGAGTATTCATGGTTCGTTGAGATTCCTTCTCATCCAGGTCCTCTATTTGGGTCATCAGATTGGATTTTTGTTTCTCTATTCTCCCAAAAAGGTCCCTATTCCATTCTCTTAAATTCCCCCTCAGGCTTTTCAACTTCTTATGAAACCTTACCCCTTTCCACTTCACCCCCTCCCTCATATCTTGATTCCACCATTCCTCAATCTTTTTTACAAAATCAAGGTGTGTCATCCACATATTTTTGAATCTAAAGGGTTTGGGTCCACTCCTAAAAGGCTCTTGTCCTAGCTCAATGGGACAATGGTTGGAGGTAACTCTAGATAGAGCTTTGGATAGCAAGTCTCTCCAATGATTTTCCCAACTTTCGTTAAAAAGGAACCTATCAAGCTTCAAGCAAGTTAGGCTTTCTTGGAAGTTGGACCAAGTAAAAAGGCCACGCACAAGAGGAAGCTCCTTAAGCTCACTACAACTAATAAAATCATTAAATTTTCTCATACTATTTGTAGTGAGTTGTTGGGGGTTATTTGTCTCATTAACAAAGCGCAATACATTAAAATCGCCACCCAAACACCAAGGACCCACCCATAGCCCTTGGATTCCATATAACTCTTCTCAAAATCCATTCCTCTCTCTATAGAAATTAGGGCCATAGACATTGGTCAACACCCAAACGAAACCATCGTTCACCGACTTGAACTTTACAGACACCGAAGAGTTTCCTATTAACTCCTCCTCTGCCTCTACAACATCCTCTCTCCACAATGTGACAATACCCCCTGAAGCCCCCCAAGAGGGTGCAAAGGCCCAACTTATTCCTCTTGACTTCCACACACTTCTGGCCCATCTTTTGTCAAAATCGACTAATTTGGTCTCTTGTAGCATCACTATATCAGGCCTATTCCTTCTAAGCATATCTTTAATTAACCTCCTTTTCCTTGCGCTCCCTAAGCCCCTCACATTCCAACTGATGATTTTCATGGGAAACAAAATTTTAGAGCCCAACTAAGGTTAAAGGTTCCTACTTGGGAGTCTTTCTTCTTCCCCTTCTGCCACTAAACACAATGTCCCCTTTTATATCTGAAATCAGCCTCTCTACTTCAGTTCTTTTCTTTTTCTTTCTGTTATTTCCCACTCCCCGGGTGCTTGGACAATTTTTTGGGTTCCCACTCTCATTTGTGTTTTCCTCCGAATAATCCTCTATGATCTTATACTCCTCCAATAGTTCACAAATTTGCCCCCATATCCTCTCTAATTCTTCCTCCTACGATTTTTTCCAGAGTAGCTCTCCCCCCTCCTTTTCATAATTTTTGTCAACATTCTCAGAAACCACACCCAACCCCTCCCTTTGCGTGTATTCCTCAAGAAGAGCACATATTAGATTCCAGATTCTCTCTAACTACTCCTCTTGCTTTTTTCTCAACTGAAGCTCTCTCTCCTTTTCAACACAACCATTAGTTATGCCTACACCTTCCCCTCTAAAAGTTATTCTTTCCAATTGAGAAGCTGAGATACCTATTTCAAGCACAGAACCCACATCAGTAACAAAAACCAAATGAACATACATACTTATACCAATACGAGGCGAGGACGAAGGTTCTAAAGTCCCAGAAAGGTAATCAGGGGCTGCCACCAAACCTTGTGTCTGAGGAGAAAGTGGAAGTGTATTTGGTTCTATTAAAGTTGTGTTAATTGTAACATCCAAATCCACCTTAGCATTTTGCCCCCAACCGCTGAATCTATGTTCTGTGAACAGAAGGATTCATGTTCCTCTGATTCGATGAAGAATGTTGCTCTGTGGAAAAGGGAATAGGCTCCGGGTTAAGCGTCCCTTGTGTTTCCTTTGTAGGCTCTGCTGGATTTACCGCCAATTTTGGAGACCTGAGAGTTTGCAAAACTTCCTCCTGGACATCTTCTGATGGACCCAAGGCATCATCTTCTAAGAAAAGCAAGTCTGTGTGAAATCTTTTATCCTCTAAGATTGACCTTGACAGCTGTAGATCGACACTACCAAGGCTGACTGTGTCGTCTGTGTTAGACTCTAAAGAAAAATGCTCCTCCTTGGAGTAGTCTTCCTTCTCCATTTCTAACTGACTACATCTGACACTTCGGGAACTGCAATGGTCAAATGAGAGATTCTGTAGCTTCTTGGACAGGATCCACTATAAAGAGCTCCCATGGTGTATGTTGCTTTATGAATAAATAATATGCTTTATAATCAAAAGGATTCAAGATAAAGCAGATTAAGGCAGGAAACATAAGTTACAAGTTTAGTGGAATTATTAGTAATAAAGGTGATGTAATTAAGATGGATGATCACAAATGCCCATAATAAACCACTCCCAACTTTGTATCAATCATCCATAATGAAGGAGAAATAAAAATGGGTGTTGCGATAGATAGAGCAGGATAGGTAAAGTTGAAAGTGCATCCAATGTGTTGTGTCACAAACAAAAACCAATGAAGAAACAATATATTATGGAAACAAGTGTATCTAAGCTAAGGATATTGAGATGGATGGATGAGTGGAAAAAATAGAATGGATAGAATTAGAAATGAGCATGTTGGAGAGGAAATACCAATAAATCCAATTAGTGCCAAAATTAGGGAACACTAACTGAGATGGTTTGGTCATCTGTATGGGCTACTAATGACTACACCAACAAGAAGTGGTTTGATGCAAGTAGAAGGTTCTGAAAGAACAAGGGAAAGACCATTGAAAACATGGTTTGAACTGGTAAAATTCATTTGACAGAAAACATGGCAGTTCTTTGTAGAGCAGAAATGGTATTACAGGATTCATCTGACCCGAAACAGCAGGGAGTAAGGCCACATGAAGTTGTGAGGTCACTAATTACGTTTAGAGCAAAAGGAAAGAAGAAGGAAAAAAGAAAAATAATATGCATAACATGAATATAAGACTGTTTCATGAGAAAATGATACTTATGTCTTCCATCATTCCCAATAATCAAGGTAGATGCAGAAAAAAGAAGAAAAAAAGTCAGAAAGCAAAGTAGCAGTCAAGAATGATTACCTCAGCAAAAGAACTATACTTATTTCTTGAAGCAATAGGCTCCATGCGCGCTTTTATTTGCTCACAAGCATCTAAAACTGCAGCTCCATACATGTCTGAGCTTGCAGAAGCAGCTGTTGGTGATGCATTAGGTACCTGAATTGAAGAAAAGAATATAGAAGTTAAGACTGAAAAGAGTAATAAGAAACCATACCATGCAATCTTCTCCATAATCATTCCAGTGGATGAACAATATTTTTCATGCTTGACAACGGTCTAAGAACATTTCAGTCTTCCTGGTTGTTCATAGAAAATCTAAACAAAAACAGAGCTAGTTGTTAGCATGAAATGCAAAATACAAGAGCCAAATACATTAGATGAGATAAAAGTGCATTTGGCCCTGCACAAAGTGAAAGGAAAGAAGTATAATTCCTTTCCACCTCCTAAAAACAAAGGGGAAGACCATGGATATATGTTCTGGCATCAGCAGAATAGAGTTTATGGGCAAAGAGGAAATACAAAATCTTTTCAGTTGGAGCTAATTAAGTCCAGGACATTATTGCCAAAACTATTGTTTCTGTTTTCATCTATAACCAATAACTCTGCGATTATAAGAAGTCACACCTTGGATTACAAATATTTTAGGAATTAAAAGATATTCTTCGCTACTTTCTAAACAACTGGCTGCTGTTGTCTAGATCCAAACTGCACTTCCCCTCCTCTCAAAGTATTGACTAATTGGTGTTCAAACTTCAATAAAGAAAAGTAAAGTGGAAGAAAAAGAGAGAAAGAAGAAAAGGAAGAAGGTAGGGAGAGAAAAAGAAGTAAAAGAGAAGGAGAAGAAAAGAGTGAAGACAAGCAAGGAGAAATCTCTCTCTACTCTCCTTACTGTCAATCCAGCTTTTATTAACATTTTACTAAGCTGAAATGACAACAATGCCCTTAGATAAGATACAGCAGATATAAGAAAAAAAAACAAGGAAAAGACAATAATGCCCTGTCAACCAATTCTAACACTCCCCCTCAAGCTGGAGCATATATATCATAAAGTACCAGCTTGTTACAAATATAATCCATCCTTAAGCGACCCACACTTTTAGTAAAAATATCAGATGCTTGATCTTTAGATTTAACATAGGGAGTAACAATATCTCCACCTGTTACTATCTCTCTCACAAAATTGTTCGGTTGCCACAAAACAATTTAATGGGTTGACAAATTGTGATATTCATCTCCTAAAGAAGATGCTTCAACCAAACTAGCTCATAGGTAGCATGGGCCATTGCCCTGTATTTAGCTTCAGCACTACCCCTAGCAACCACACTCTGCTTCATTCTCTTCCAGGTAACGAAATTTCCACACAAGAAGGTACAACAACCCATCGTAGAACTTGCTGTCCATTGGAGACCCTGCTTAATCTGTATTTCAATACCTTACCAAAGACATCTCCTCTATTATACAAAAGCCCTCGACCAGGACCACCCTTTAGATACTTCAACATCCTCATAACACCATCGGAATAAGCAGTATTTTGATTCTGTATGAATTGATTGAGGACTCCAACACTAAAGGAGATGTCAGGCCTAGTGATGGTAAGAAAGATCAGCATGCCTACCAGTCTTTGATAACTTGTAGGATCTTCTAATCGCTCCCCCTAACTATCAATCATCTTCACATTGGGATCCATAGGAGTTTCAACCGGCTTGGATCCCAACCACCTAGCTTCATCCAACATACCCAACACAAACTTTAATGGGACAAAGATTCCCCATTTCGATCAAGTTATATCAATTCCAAGGAAGTACTCCAAGGTTCCTACACCTATAGTTTGAAAGCGTTATTGTAGGAGCTATTTCAACTCATTAATTCCATGTGCATCATCACCAGTGAGAATGGTATTATGAGCATACATTGCCAAAATGATTTTCCCAAATGAAGAGTCCCTGCTAAACACAGAATGGTCAACACTACATTGTTTCAAGCCAAAATGTTGTAACACACTACTAAAAGGGCTAATCTGCAAACTTGATAATGAAAAGACTTTTGATATGGTTGATTGGAATATTCTTCTAGAATTTTTGAGGTGTAGGGGATTTGGAGAGAGATGGTGTAAATTGGTAAAGGGTGTATCTCCTTTTCTATGTTGTGGCTAAAGAATTTTTACTGGTAAAACGATGCCTTAGACAAGGAGACCCTATATCTCCTTTTCTGTTCAGATTAGTTGCAGATGTACTGAGTGGCTTGATCTTAAGAGTAAATGCTAGTAATTTGATAAATGATTGGACAGCTAGGAGGGAAGAGGTAGTGGTTACTCATTTGCAATTTGTGGATGACTTGAGTGATACCAATGTCTTCATGGTAGGGAAGCTAATGGATGGGAAGCTCGTCTTGACCCTAGGGCTTCCTATTTATCCCCTTGCAAAGCCATACATGGAACTATCCCTTCCCTTTGTTCATTTCTCAACTATGATGCTTGTTTTGGAAATAAAGTGCTTTTCTGAGAATATGTGTAGTTAGGGGAAGTCCCTCACATGGATTTATTCCCTTCCTTATAGTCCCTTTCTTTGAATAAGAGGAAAGTAATTGCTTTTGTTCATTTCTTTGGGGACATTTGGGACTTGGGTTTGTAGAGAGGCTTAAGGGAGGCTGAAATGGGCACAATGGATGAACCTCCTTCTCTTTTGAGTACAATCTCTGTAGATCGTTATTGTCTATGGAGTGTCGAATATACATTAAAGGGGCCATCATTTCTTAAAGGTTAGGTTTCAGGAGTCAATTATTTATAAAAGATCTTACGAAGTGTGGGGCCCGCGGCAAGAGTAAAAATGTGCTGAGAGATAAAAGCCCCTTCGGAATTTGAAAGGGGAATTTTAAGAGAACTACTGGCAAGAGTGGTGCAACTACTGGCAACTTGAAGTTTGCTAATCTTAAAGCTTGAGTAAAAGGGTCGTGCTCGGAGACTAGGGCAGGTGATGTGACTTCAAGGGAGCTCTTCAATGGCAAGCAGGGCGAGGAAACAACAGGCGTCCTTCTCCCCGATCTTGCTGAAGATTCGCAAGGTCAGAATCATGTTGCTTCTTTCTCTGAGTTGGGACATGAGAGTAGTGGTCTCGTTGCCAAGTACCCRGACAAACTCTTAGAGAGAGAGAGAGTCAAGAGAAGGGAATGAGGGTGAGCTTAGGGTGGGAAAAAGGAGGCAAACAAAGAAGGTGAGGGCGAGAAGGTGAATGGTTCTAATGACATGGTTACCGAAGTGATTGTTGGAAGATTGGGAGTTGATCTAGGCAAAAAGAGCAAAGAGTCTAATTTGGCTAGAAGTGGTGATGTCTTGGGGATTCGTAGGAAGCCCAGAGTTTCAAGCAAGCTCGGTGTAGTTCATGTCACAAAGGCTTTTTCTAGGTTTAAAGATGGTCTGGTGGGAGTAGGGCCAACCAACAAGTATAAAAGAATTTATAGGAGGGGAATAAAATTTAAAACCCAAAATCTTGTGATTCCTAGTCTGGAATGTACTCTGTCTTCTACAGGGACTGGTAAGATGATTATTCCGATGGTTGTGGCTCCTCAATGGGAGAAGTCAAAAAAGACTGACTATTCGGGGCCTACATGTAGGGAGGGAACTGATGTAGATGAGACCTCTGGTAAATTGTTGCTGGAGCAAAAGGAAATGAAGATAAGAAGTGTGGATGTGAAGACTCTAGTTGATAAGGAGGTGGAAGTCGACAAGGCTTTGGGACTGTTTTTCCTAGGAGGAGAAAGCTTTGCCAGGAGAGCTTTTGGACAACTCAAAAGAAAAAGAAAGGAGGAGAATATGAGAAAGACTTTTGAAGCCTTAGGGGGGAGAAATTTGGGATGAGGGTGGAGACGGAGAAGAATTTGGTGGGGAGGAAGATTGATCTATGTTTAGTAGTATTTGTCAAGGATTAAAAAATTGATATGATACGCCTGATACAGGGCTTATCGTATCGGTATCGGACCTCACTGGCACAGGACACGTCACAACTGGATACTTAACCTTCCAGTCTCACATATCAGTCCAATACGCTACTGTACCGGCACATATCATATAGTATCGAGCAACGCGATCCGATACGCATTGATACAACAGCGTACTGCACGTCCATGCCTTCATCTAACAACTATAAACTATGTCTCACTTTAAAAAATTGAGGATAGCGCCACTCGAACCACGTCTCACCCAACGACCAAGAGCATATGCCTCTTCAACAAACAAGGCACTTACCACTTTTTGATTATAAAAGAAACATATTAACCTTTATCAACATTAAAGTCTAATGGTCTACATACAACCCAAATAAATAATATATACTAATATTCAACAACTCCAACAATAAATTAAAAAGAATAATTTATAAAATTAATATTTTATGAACAATGGAATAAATAGTTTATCAAATCTACATATATACCAAAAATTGATTTTTAATTTCAAGAAATTTATAGAAATAAAATTATTATTAATAGAATAATTATTTTAATACTTAAAATTTATAAATTTGCACATTATATGTATATTCAAATTTTTATAAATTATTAAATAATATTTTAATTTGCATTATATAGTAATGTCTTTACTATATAATAAATAAAAATATTATTTACAAAATATTTGAGAATATAATATAAACTGAATTGGTCAATTCCACTAACCAACATTTATATGAAAATAAAATAATTTTGTATTTTAGAAATTTTAAAAAATAAAATATTATTAATGGAATAATTATTTTAGTAATTAAAATTTATGAATTTTCATATGATAATATATCTTCAAAGTTTTAATAGATTTGATATATTTTCAGTTAAGATTATATATTTTTTATAAATTATTAATTAATACTTTACTTTACATTTTATAATAACATATTTATTCTCAATAGTAAAATAGAAATATTGATATAGTAATTCAAATAGAATAGTTGCATATGTTTTGTGCCTTGAACTTTAATAGAAAATAAAATAATAATGGCTTTGTGCATGTATTAATTTCTAGGAATCTATATAATATGTCTTAGATTCTTGATTGATGCACTATCAATAAAGTTGCATAATATCTATGCATCTCACTATATTAGTTGTAATATATTTCATCATATATACCATTAAAACTAAAGATCCTATGTATTTATATATTATTT